GGTGTTATTATGGATGCCTGGGGCTGGTGCCTTGTATGGGGACATGCCCCTGAGGTCAGAGCTGGCTGCACTGAGATGATAAATACCTCTTACATACTCTGAGTCCATGTATGGTACCTGCTCTGGAGGCAAACAGCAGTTCTCACCACAGCACAAGGGGGTGGGATACTCTGGAACGTTTGATCCCCCTGAGAAGGAGCTGTAAGCAGAGTCTGCTCTTCCAGGGAGGTGCAAGAGATGCTCTGCACTGCCTGGGGACTTCACTGCTGAAAGACAGTTACCATTGTCAGGAGAAGCCACAGGCTCTACCAGCTCTCCAGCTCTGCCCTCTTGCCTGTGAGTCCATCTTTCTAGCTGATTCCCAGATGAATCCATGTTGTAGCATTTCCAGAACTCAAAGTCTGATTAACTGTCCACAATCGAGTTGTTAGAAAAGCACATTTTTCTCTGTAGTCACATTCCAATCATATCCAGAGGATCCTAAAAAGAAAGAGAAACGTGTGAAAAAGACTCAGTGGGAGGATTCTGACTGCTCTGGGGAGACCAGGCAGTGAGCATCACACATGGGCCCAAGGGGAAAACATGGAAACAGTATTAGAGTAGCTAGAAGCAAATTTCTGGCTTCACTGATGATCAGTATCTTGGAGTGATCATTTTCTCTCTCACAAACAGAGCAGCTAATTCTTTAATAATGAGTTCTCTAGATCATCATTAAGTCTAAAAGATTATGCATACAATTAGAAGATTCTTATTATTATTATGATTGCAGAACATCAAGGGCCAGAATCCAATCTAGGTTCTGAATTTGCCTAGAAATAAATACAAGAGGTTGAAAGTCCCAGCTCGAGATGTTTATCAACCTTCTCCCCCCTCCTTAAAGGCTTCCACTGCTTCTCAGAGAAGCAAGAACCAAATCATGCTTTATTTCATGAACGTGATGAAAATAATTTGTCTTGTAACAAATGAGATCTGCACAAGCAGCCTGCTGAAAAAGCCAACAAAAGACACACACAGGAGATGGTCACACACTCAGCCAGCTTCAAACCCCTCTGACATGCTCACAGGGGACAGGAGCCCTTAAAGAAAGGCTGAGCCTGGCAAGCCAGGCAGGTACTAGCCAGTGACCTTGTTTAGTAATTCCCATTTAAACGACTTCTAAAGACAGATTAGTTATTAAAAGAAAGCAAACAAAGTTTTGAAAACCTTTGGAGAGAAGTGACACCTTCTGAGGAGATGCAAACTGCTTCCAGATCCTACCAGAACATGACACATCTGTTTTCTTCAAAAAGGTTGAGTCCCCAAACCTTAATCTGCCATCCCAAACACTGCACTTCTGCAGTGGGGCCTCAAAGCTGCCAGAGAGAAAAGTTTCAAGGGTGGTGTTGCTGTTTAATCAAAAAACTTCACATTCCTGCCTGGTTTCAGAGACAGTCCTGGTATCATTCATTTTGAGCCCAAGGAAGAGATGGATTGGAGCCAAAATACTCCAGTTAATCTATAAAGGGAGCTTGGAATGGTGGGGCACAGCAAATAAACTAACAAGTTTCTGGGAAAATGAAAAGAGCATAACAGCACACAGTGGGAATTTCTGCTGGGCTTTTTTGGAAATTCCTGTAAGGAACTGACTCAAGGGTGCCTGGGGAAGTTTTCTCTCTCTCTCTGGAGATGATGTAAAATGCAGCTGGGAAATTTAATTGTCTATCTCTGAGTAACAGGGTCACAGAGGAAACACAAAGCATCAGTGGCTGATGGTGACATTCTCTGTCCTTTTCACCACGGTGTATTGAGGAATTTAAAGCATAAACCCCTCAGGTATCTGGTGAAAGGAACACCTTAGCCCTCCTGAAGCTGCAGAGAAAGAAGAGCAGCTGAGAGGACGGTTGCACTGGCACTCAAGCAGAGACAGCCTGTACCACAGTTGCTGTCACACCGTTCTTACATCATCTAGAGGAACAGACTGCCCCTGGAAACCTGGCCCAGCAGAGTGACTGCTGGGTCTGCCTGAGCTGTGCAGGCTGGGGGGTGTCTGGAGCTGCTGGGAGGTGCACAGCATCACAATTTGGAGGAGCCTCCTCCCACAGGAGAACCAGGAGGCAGAGCTCTCTGTCATTCTTATTGCTGTTATTTTTAACCACAGTTTTGCCCCAGTGGACCCTCTCCAGGCAGCTCTGCTACTGCCCTGTTGCTATCAATAGCCTGAGGCAAGGCTCTGTCTGGGATGTGCTGGCACAGGGCTGCTGGAGTCAGTGCAGCCACCTTGATTTACAAGGAGAATTTGGCTCTGGCTTTTCACAGCCATGCATGGAATCTAAGGAACAGTTGTGCTCTGGTTTGTGTGCATCAATGAAAGGACTCTCCTGGGTTCCTACACCACTGTTTCCCAACATCTCTTTCCCCTCATTATTTCAAGCTCCTTGTTTGTGATTCACAGTGACAACAGAGCCAAGAATTTTTGTCTCAGGTTCTTCTGATGATATCAGAAATAATAGGAAACAGAATTTCAGTATCTTAAAAGACCAAAGTCAGAACATCTGACTTGGAAACAGCAGCAGCAAGCACCAAGTCCTCTGTGCCAGGAGCAGGAGGACATTCAGCTCATGGGATGTTCCCTCCTCCTCCTGTGCTGTCTCTCCCATCACCTCTCTGGAGTTACCTGCACCCTCTCCTTCTGCCCCATGGAGGAGTGCTGGATAAGCACAAGGACTTTGCCCCCCCTGAGTGACCCCTGGTCCCACTCTTGCCACAGCTCACATTTTGCACATCTCTTTTGCTTAAGACCAACTCTGCAACTTCCCATCCTTGAAGTGACTGAAAAATGCTAAGAGCTGAAGTAATACTGTTCTCCAGGAGTTGGCTAAAGTTTAAATAACATGATACTGAAGCACATCTTAGGGAAAACCTGTCATATTTCTCTTGAAGAAGGTGTTTACTACAGCCTGGAAGCAGAACCATTATCTCAAGAACTCCATGAAAACTGCCTTCTCTTTCACCTGGAGAACAGAAGCATTAATGTGCTTGAAACTCAACCAACCCCAACAAGGCTGTTGCTGTTCTCCTCAGCTGGTGGGTGGTGGAGCACCCTCATGGACTAGTTCTGGGCCTTAGAAACACCCTGGCAAGGCTCTAACACAACGTGCACATTCCAGACAGGCTGGCAATATTTTAATGGCAAACCTCTGAAAGCAAAAAGAAAACTGTTAAATTTAAAGCATATCAGAACCAGGAACACCAGAAGTGTATTAACAGTGTGTCACCATGCCTGAGGAAGAAATAAAGCCACTAACAAGCTATTAAGACCCAAAGTTTTGTTGCACAGCCCTGTGGTTTTGTTTTTGTTTTCCTTTTTTAAGGCTAACTTGACTTCCATCCTCTGATTTATTATATTTACGCAGTACCACCTAAGAAACCCTACAGAGAGCAGAGCCCTCTCTGGAGAGCCCTTTGCAAACATGAAGCACACACTCTTTGCTTTATAGATCTGACAAACTATAGAGAGATGAGATAAACAAAAGCATGGGAGAGAAACAGGGTCTCTGTAGGGAATGGGACTTGTCTGATGCTTCTCAGCAGGCAGATGGCTGAGGAAGAACAAAACCCAATTAACAGGATGCTGGGCTGTGTCTGGGCTGAGAGGATGATATCTTATGTCTCAAAACAGGAGTTTTTCCAAGTGTCCACCATAATAATAATAGAAGAAGAAAAAAAATAGTAGCAGCAAGGCAGCACCAAGGAATTCACATTGCCACAGCCCATGCTGTAGGTTTTCTCAGCTCAGAACCAGTGCTTGCATTAAAACTCCCTCACCCCAACATTAGCAAATACAGCCCCTGAGTGTTCAGGGCAGGTTCAAGTCCTGCTGAAGTCTCCACCCCTTCACAGACCACTGCTAAAATACCACTCACCTCCTCAACCTCTTAGTTCTAGGGAAGGGTGGCTTGTGTTGCACAACCTTGAATTCCTTGCAGCCAGCTTAGTGGGTGAAAGCCTCATGTCTCTGGCAAATCACCTCTGTACAGAGCAAAATCAGCAGCTCCAGACTGCAGCCAGTTAACGAGTTCCCTGTCTTGGAAGGGCAAACTTCATCCTGCTTTCAGTTGGCTCTGGTTCGACCTCCTTTAGATTGTATCAGGTCCTGCTAAGTGATCCACAATTCACCTGCAGTTCTACACAATGCAGCACCCATCTGAAACCTGGTGTTGCCTTCTCAGCTCTCCAACTGATCCCCAACAACCCGGCTGGTGCCCCAGCACTGGGCACAGCCACGCAGCTCCTTGGCGTACCCGGGCAGTCCCCAACACCACCTCTCTGTCAGAGAGTGAGCATTTTCCTTACCACACAAGCAGAGTTCAGACCTTCTTTTGAGACTGAGCTATGGGTGAGGAATTGTGACTTTGGGAAATCAAACAGGATTTCTCCTACCAGCCACTCGAGGCGAAGGCAACGTCGTGAACGTGTCGGCAGGTCGAAAACTCCACAGACCCTGTGGAGTAAAACTGCCCTTTTTAAACAAATGGGCCCCGTGGAAATCCAGGGGGAAAGCAGAGTTATTAATCCCTATCAAACTACAATACACGACTGTTCTCCCAGCAGTGAGGAGGAGAAGTGTGTGAACTGCAAAGCAAACACCGTGACGAACCCGCCGATCCTGTGTCAGGTCCAGGTCCAGGTTTGTGAATGACCCGTTTCTTATCACAGGCAAACACCTGCTGTCAATATTAGCCAAAATTCTTCAGATTCCAATCGGTTGCACAGTCCACAGCACCTGACCCATCTGCTTCACAGAACATGAGGTCTAATTGCTACCAAACTATCATCCCTGAGACTCCTGCTTTAGCAGGCAGTGCTGTCCCAGGGAAGTCTGGAGGGTCCAAAATCCTGGGGAAGGTGAGTAGAGAGTCTCTGGTGTCACAGACACCTTTGGCAGGACATCAGTTGCTGATCTAGCACAGGTTCCCAGACCTCCACCCAGAACAGACATCTCTGCACACTCGTGACACAGATGACCTGCCACTGAGGACAGATGACAGTCACTGGCAGGGACTGCACCTCTCACTGGGACAGGAGCTGTCTGGGGATACATGCTGCTGCTTTGACCAGACTGTGAAATATCCAGAAAGTCCAGACAAATGTCTGGAGTCTTCAAATTCCATCACTTCCACATGACTGTTGAAAGGGTGAGGGAAATGGAAGGAGAACACATCCAGGAAAGTGTGGCTGTCTCATTTTCATGCCCAGCAGCTCTGAAAGTCACCATCTCTCTCTCAGCTACAGCTTTCTTTTTTCCTCTTTTCTTATTTATTTTAATAAATATGTTAACTTTATTTTTTTCAAGCCTAGAATCAACACTTTTATCCCCAAGGACTTTCAGTGTGAGG